TGTTGGTGAGGATATTGAGAAAAGGAAACTCTTGCACACCGTTGGTGGGAATGTAAACTGGTGTAGCCACTGTGAAAAACAGTACGGAGATCTCTCAAAAAACTAAAAATAGACCCAGCAATTCCACCCCTGGGTGTGTATACATAGATACACACACATATACATATGGGTATGCACTCATACGTATATGTGTGTGTGTGTGTATATTTATATATATATATATATATATATATATGCTAGTAAAGTAACACTGAAAATTCTCCAAGCCAGGCTTCAGCAGTACGTGAACTGTGAACTTCCAGATGTACAAGCTGGTTTTAGAAAAGGCAGAGGAACCAGAGATCAAATCGCCAACATCCGCTGGATCATCGAAAAAGCAAGAGAGTTCCAGAAAAACATCTATTTCTGCTTTACTGACTATGCCAAAGCCTTTGACTGTGTGGATCACAATAAACTGGAAAATTCTGAAAGAGATGGGAACACCAGACCACCTGACCAGCCTCTTGAGAAACCTATATGCAGGTCAGGAAATAACAATTGGAACTGGACATGGAACAACAGACTGGTTCCAAATACGAAAAGGAATACGTCAAGGCTGTATATTGTCACCCTGCTTATTTAACTTCTATGCAGAGTACATCATGAGAAATGCTGGGCAGGAAGTAGCACAAGCTGGAATCAAGATTGCCGGGAGAAATATCAATAAGCTCAGATATGCAGATGACACCACCCTTATGGCAGAAAGTGAAGAGGAACTAAAGAGCCTCTTGATGAAAGTGAAAGAGGAGAGCGAAGTTGACTTAAAGCTCAACATTCAGAAAACTAAGATCATGGCATCTGGTCCCATCACTTCATGGGAAATAGATGGGGAAACAGTGGAAACAGTGTCAGACTTTATTTTTGGGGGCTCCAAAATCACTGCAGATGGTGACTGCAGCCATGAAATTAAAAGATGCTTACTCCTTGGAAGGAAAGTTATGACTAACCTAGACAGCATATTAAAAAGCAGAGACATTACTTTGCCAACAAAGGTCTGTCTAGTCAAGGCTATGGTTTTTCCAGTGGTCATGTATGGATGTGAATGTTGGACTGTGAAGAAAGCTGAGCGCTGAAGAATTGATGCTTTTGAACTGTGGTGTTGGAGAAGACTCTTGAGAGTCCCTTAGACTGCAAGGAGATCCAACCAGTCCATCCTAAAGGAGATCAGTCTTGAGTGTTCATTGGAAGGACTGATGTTGAAGCTGAAACTCCAATACTTTGGCCACCTGATGCGAAGAGCTGACTCATTGGAAAAGACCCTGATGCTGGGGGGGATTGGGGGCAGGAGGAGAAGGGAACGACAGAGGATGAGATGGCTGGATGGCATCACTGACTCGATGGACATGAGTTTGGGTAAACTCCGGGAGTTTGTGATGGACAGGGAGGCCTGGCGTGCTGCGATTCATGGGGTCGCGAAGAGTCAGACATGATTGAGGGACTGAACTGAACTGAACTGATATATACATACAGTGCATTAATTTAAAAAGACCCATGCACCCCAATAGCAGCATTATTTATAATTGCCAAAATGTTGTTGTGTTGTTCAGTCACTAAGTTGTGTCCAACTCTTTGCAACCCCATGGACTGCAGCACACCAGGCTTCCCTGTCCTTCAACAGTGTGAAAGGTGAGAGACAGGAGTCTGAGAAAACAGCTCATTCCTATTTGAAACAAAATCCATCTGCAGATAATTGATTACAAACATTTTTATTGTCTTAAAAGGGAGGAGGATCCTACGCAATCGAATTCAAAAATTCCCTCTTGACAAAGACAAGTTGTAGGAATATGAATGGTTGACTGGATCATTGACATTGATCATGTCAATTATTGCTTGGCTGGATTTTTTTTTTTTAATGACTGGTTAAGGATAGGGCTTCCCTGATAACTCAGTTGGTAAACAATCTGCCTGCAATGCAGGAGACCCTAGATGGATTCCTGGATCAGGAAGATCCCCTGGATAAGGGATAGGCTACTCACTCCAGTATTCTTGGGCTTCTCTTATGGCTTAGCTGGTAAAGAATCTGCCCGCAATGCAGGAAACCTGGGTTCTATCCCTGGGTTGGGAAGATCCCCGGGGAAGGGAAAGGCTTCCCACTCCAGTATTCTGGCTTTGAGAATTCCACAGACTGTATAGTCTATGGGGTCACAAAAAGTGAGACATGACTGAGGAAATTTCACTTTCACTTTAAGGATTATTATACTGTTTAAAGGTTGCACTGCCTCTAAGATGATGTGGGTTCTGGAAGTGCTCCTAAGTTCATTAAATAGTTTTTTGTTGTTGTTCAGTCGCTAAGTCATATCTGACTCTTTGCGACCCCATGGATTCAGCATACCAGGCTTTGTCCTTCACTGTCTCCCAGAGTTTGCTCAAATTCATGTCCATTGAGTTGGCAATGCTGTCTAACCAGCTCATCCTCTGTTGCCCCCCCTTTCCTCCTGCCTTCAATCTTTCCCAGCACCATGGTCTTTTCTAAGAAGTTATCTCTTTGCATCAGGTGGTCAAAGGATTGGAGCTTCAGCATCAGTCCTTCCAATGAATATTCAGAGTTTATTTCCTTTAGGATTGACTGGTTTGATCTCCTTGCAGTCCAAGGGACTCTCAAGAGTCTTCTCCAGCACTACAATTCAAAAGCATCAATTCTTCAGCGCTCAGCCATCTTTATGGTCTAACTCTCATTGAATAGTTCATTATTCATTTTCTAGCATAAATGTTAATTTCTCACAGGAAATAGTAAATAGATCCCAAAGTTCTCCCTGGGTTTAAGGTTTTGAACTTTTTTTTTTTTGCTAATCCCTACAGTGGGAGAAATAGCAAGAATCTGTCTCTCCCTTTTCTGTCTAGATTGCTTGTCCTACTCTTTCTTGATTACGTGGTCCGTATTCATTTAAAAAATTGCATGCTTATTTTGTACCAGTGTTGAGGACAGTGATGTGTTAAAACAGGCAGTCTTATCCTCACAAGGTTTAGTGTGTAGTTGGGCAGAGCGTGGGCATACTTATAACTTAAATTTACTTGTGCATAGCTGTAATTCTGAACTGTGCTTTGAAGCAAAGGGACAAGATAAATGTCATCTCAAGAGAGATCCATCTCAGACTTCAAAATCAGAGGAGGCACCTATGAAGAAGCGACTCTTGCATTCACCAGGACACGAGTCAGGTCTGGGGCTTGTCCAAAATCCTAAGGCAGAAGAGAGGTTGGCCCTTTGGAGAGTGGCTAAAGGGCTGGATGCAAGAGGTGACAGATGAAGCTGGAGGCTGGAGTGAGACACTGCAGCCGGCCAAGGTTTTGATCCATGTCCTAAGAGAAAGTGAAGCCACTGAAAGGTTTCAAGTGAAGGAGTGCATATGAGAAAGTTGGAAGGATATTCAGTTTGGAAAAAAAAAATCACTCCAGCTGCTCTATAGATAGGCAGAGTGGGAAAAGCAAGGCCAGAGGGCCATGTGGTCAAGACAATAGCAGAAAATAGCCTCGACTAGGGAGGTGCACAGATCAGTAACCAGATAAGAGAGATCTAGGAAGTTAAGGTTACCAATGTATGTCTGGGATTTCAACTTTTCCTTGTACCTAAAGCTGGTCTTTAATAGGCATGAGCTTCTGTACAACTTCAGTTACACCTCCATGATTATTTTCCAAAATATGCTAAAGTAATTAATCATTTCCCTTACTAGAAAGTCAACTCTTTGAGGGCAGGGTTGCATGGAGTGGAACTTTTCTCCACTTTACATACATTGTTGACCTGCAAGCTATGTATCTATTGGGTGCTCAATATATACATGTAATTATAAAGAATACATAAGATTCTCCTATACGTTCCTCCTTTCTTACTACTTACCATAATTGTAATTAAAGTTATTCATATAATTATATATTATTTAACACACCTCTCACTAAACTGTCAACTCCATAAGGACAAGGGTAGGGCCCATATCTATCTTGGTTATTGCTTTATCTCAATGCCCCACACTGCACCTGGTACTCAGTAAATATTTGTGAAAGAATCCTTCTGTTAAGTAAAAGTTTCAACCAAACATTTATATCATGCTTATTTTGTGCCAGTCTCTTAGTATTTTACAAACATTAGAACAGTTTTTCTCATAACAACTTCATTGTGTATATATTATTGGTATCCGTATTTCACTGATGAGGAAACTGAGGCAGGAAGGTTAAGCAACTTCTTAGGGAGTCCATCTTATAATATATGGACCTTGTCTAGGACAGGACCTGGGCTAGGCACAGTATAAAATCATGGTTAATATTTTGGGGCACTAGTGGTAAAGAAACCGCCTGCCAATGCAGGAGATGCCAGACACGAGCGCTTGATCCCTGGGTCGGGGAAGATCCTCTGGAGAAGAAAATGGCAACCCACTCCAGTATTCTTGCCTGTTAAATTCCACGTCCACGGAGTCGCAGAGAGTCGGACAGGAATGAGCACAAAGGATAGGATAGGATAGGATAATATTTTTTGAGCACCTACTATAACACACATATTAGGTTTGGCGTTAGGGGCTTTACATAGTATTTTTTTTTAAGCCTCACACTTAAGGTTAGGCAAGTTAGGTATCCTTAATCGCTCTCGATTATTATGGAAATAGGTAAAGGTTTGGCAGATTCAGTATCTTGATAGACGTCACTAGCTGAGGGGAGGCGGAGACAGAACCAAGGTTCAAACCCAGCTTTTCCTCTTCCGAGCAGGTCCCCAGGACTTGCCTTTCCGCAAGACCTGGCCCCGCCCACCGTCCCCTCTACGCCTGCGCGGTCCCCGCGCCTGCCCCCGCCCCGCCGCCGACTCGCCAGGCGCACGCGCAGTGCTTCTCCATGTGGGCGCGGGCCGTCACCCTGCCCAGCTGAGCAGTGGCACGTAAACCCCTAGGTTAAGACCCTCCTGCCCGCCTGCACCGTCTTGCTGTTGCCCTCCTCTCTCGGTCTTCCCACTCCCCACCCCCACCACAGCGCACTTCGCCATGGGCAAGAGCCGGACGAAGCGCTTCAAGCGACCTCAGTTCTCGCCTACGGGCGACTGTCAGGCCGAGGCGGCGGCGGCGAACGGGACGGAGCCAGAGGAGGACGACGGGCCAGCGGCGGAGCTGCTGGAAAAAGTGAGGCGAGGGCTCGCCGGGGCCGCGCGGGGAGGGGTGCGTGAGCAGGCGGCGCGCCGTGGCCCGCAGCCGTGCGGCGCGCCTCTGCGCGTGCGCTCTGCTGTCCCCCTGACCACTTGCTCTGTCCCGCAGCTTCAGCACCCGAGCGCCGAGGTCCGCGAGTGCGCCTGCGCGGGGCTGGCCCGGCTGGTGCAGCAGCGGCCGGTGCTCCCGGGCCTGGCGCGCCGGGACGCCGTGCGCCGCCTCGGGCCGCTGCTGCTCGATCCTAGCCTGGCGGTGAGGGAAACAGCGGCCGGCGCACTGAGGTGAGCGGGGAAGGGGGATCCGGGCTGGTGCTCTCGGATCCGGGCATCGGCCTCCAGCCCGCGCCTCCTGTGCCCCGGCACCGTCGCTCACGGGTTTCATCCTTAGTGCTCCTGTCTGCGGCACAGCTCGGGAGGGCCAAGAACTGGCTATGCTCTCCTGTTTGCAGAGGGATCTGAACTCAGGCTTCGGATTCCGGAGGACCTCATGAGCCCCGGACCACACGTATTCCATCTGTCCGCCTGACTGCTTCAACTGCAGTAGCCATCTGCCAAGCGTCCTCTGCTCAAGGCTTATTAGCGCACGTTGTACCCTCCCCAAGGAGACTTCATAGAGTCCTGAGGTTCGGTGAACTCTGCCATTGTATGTGCCAGATTTTCTAGACTCGAGGGATTTTGAAAAGGCAGAACAGTGAGCAAGACAGCCAAGATCTGTGCCTTCACAGAACCATGTTGATGCAGAGACAGGGAACTAGTAACCAGATGAAACATAATGTTAGGTTTTAAGAGGTGCTATGGAGAAACCAAGAAGATAATAGCCGGAGGTGGGGAGTTACTTGAAATTGGATAATCTCTAGATAACATTTGTGAACTAAGAGCTGAGGTAGCCTAGAGCCAGAGATGGACCCACAAGGGGAAGAGCATTCCTGACGGAGTAGCAACAGCAGAGGGCTTGGCACGGTTAAAGAAAGGGAAGGTTATGTGGCTGAGTAGAGTAGAAGGTGTACATTATAGGGATTGAGACTGGAGAGACAGATAAGGACTCAGTGGTGCAGAGCTAAAGGACCTATTCTAAGCCAGAGTGACTGGTCTAATTTACCTTCAAAAGGGCTGGTAGCTGCAGTGAGAATGGACTGTAGAGGGGGCCAGAGTAAAGTTAATATTTGTAGTTCTCATAGCTCTGTATTTATTCTGTTTCATTCATTAATGTAGCAGGTTTATATGGAGAGCCTGCAGTGCCAGGCAGTGGGCTAGTGGGAGTGAACAAGACACATAATTTCAGTCCTTAATGGATCTTAGAGTATTGAGGGAGGCAAGCATTATGCAAATAATCACATAAGTGTGTAATTACAACCAATGATATTTACAAAAGATGCTATGAGAAGGGGTTAGGGGAAGAAGACTAAGGGCATGATGTTTGAGGTGAGATCTGGGGGATGAGGGGGAATTAACCAGTTGATGGCGAAAACACACTGGGAGCTCCTGGAGGATGGTGAGGCATCTTCTCATTTCTCTTCATAGCCTGAGTGCCTAGCACAGTGCTGTGCAGTCAGAGGGTGAGCAGTGTCTTCATAATCAAAATTAAATGTAGTCAGGGTTGTTTCAGGGAAGGTCATTCTCAGTAGCCTCACCCTTCCTATCCTTGAAGTCTTGATTCCAGGAAAAGGTCCCTGCCTACACAATCAGCAGGGGAATTCCCTAGCAGTCCAGTGGTTAAGACTCCGAGCTCTCACTGTTGAGGGAGCAGGTTCAATCCCTAGTTAGGGAGCTAAGATTCCATAAGCAGCATGTCATGGCCAAAAAAATTAAAAATGGATTAGGCAGGAATTGATTTACGTTAAATAGGAAAAGTCTTCCCTCTCCCTGGGTACTGCCTCAGTCCTGAGAATTACATTGTTACAAGACAGTGTCATCTGTTTACTTCATGTAGAACAAGGATCAGAACAGGTGGAGTTCTGTGGGTTGGTTCTGCAGTGTCTTACAGAAATCGTAAAGTGATTTCAAATGGGAAATGTTAAGTATGGGTAGACATAGAAATAAACTTGAGTGCTTAGTACATTTTATGACATGTGGTCTGAAACTGGTGTGTTTTAAACTTCTTGTGTAGAAATCTCAGTGCTTGTGGTGGTTTCGAAGTTTGTGATGACATGGTGACCAAGGATATCATGACTCCACTGGTTGCACTGCTGAAAGAGGTACGCCGCTTTCCCAAGTCTCTGTTAGTGCATGCACTCGAACAGTTTGGGGTTTTGTCTTTTTGTGGGGGGGGGAGTTTGTCTTGTTTCTAAGCACTTTGGTGTCATTTTGTCTTCCCTCAAAACATTCTGTAGGAATTGTGTTTGACTGATCTCTCATGGTTGACACTGGTCTCTAGTTTGTCCTTGTTACTTTTATTTATCTGCTTGTTGGAAAAGACCTTCCTAAAAGTATAGACTGCCTCCTTTAGACTTGAAACTTCATAGGATGAAAATAATTTGTATTTACTGGATGCTTAATTATGTGTCTTGTGTGTTATTTTACCGAATCCTCAAAGCAGTCCTATTTGGCAGGTATTCTTTGTTATTCCTGTTTTACAGATGAGGAAGCTCAAGCACAGACATTAAGAATTTGCTGAGAAGACTAGATTAAGTTCTCAAATTTTCTAATGTGCCACCTTTATTGCAAGATGCAGTTCAGAGGTTAAGGAGTTCTCCCCCTGTCATGCCTCTGGTCCACTGTTCTGTATTGATGGGTAATTTTCACTTGAGGCCATAGAAAGATATATCCAGGTTTGATAAGAGACATCATCATCAAAGGGACAAGACATCTTGTCTCTTTAGAACAGTAATTCTCGTAGGGGTAATGTACCCCTCAGGGGACATCTGGCAATGTCTGGAGCCACTTTTGATGGTCACAGCTTCGGGGAAGGGGTTGCTATGGGCATCTTTAGTGCATAGAGGCCCAGGATGCTGCCAAGCATCCTACCCTGGGCGTGACAGCAAAGTGTGTCACGTGCAGCACAACAAAGAATCATCCCGTTCAAGATGTCAGTAGTGCCAAGTTTGAGAAGCCTAGTTGAGAGGATGCAGTGGATTAGGGGGCAGAACTGCAGAGGGGTTCAGAGCACCCACTTTGGAGCCAGGATGCCTGGATCTGAATCCTGCTTCACTAGATACTAAGCTACACCTTCAGCAGGCTCTCTGTGCCTCAGTTTTCCATTTGTAGCAGGAGACTGGGGATAATAGTTCATCTACGTCATAGGTTTGTGGTGACAATTAAACGACTTAATAGACACGAAATGCTTAGAATAGTGCCTCGCACATAGAAGATGCCGTATAGATGTTAACTCTTATTATGTGTTACTTTTCTTTGCCTTATATATTATCTTTACCACGTTAGATAAAATATTTTGTATTGATTTTACATTTTCACTTAAGGTGTGAAATGCTTTCTATCCAGCTTGTACAGTGACTTGTGAGAATTTGATGGGCTGGTGTTAACTGTCATTTTTGATGTTTCGTTTTTGTGATTCTTCACTGCCTTTTGCATTTGTTCGTTTATTCTTTTGAACAAAGGTGCTAATCATGGTATTTGGTTACAGTGTAGTACTGGACTGGATTCAAATGAGATGTCTCCTCAGAAAAAAAAAGATCAGAACAGAAATTCTATTGAAAACATAGCCAACGAGGCCGTAAATGTGCTGTGGAATATATGGTAAGATGCTTTCCAGATGCAGCTTCCTGCTTCCACACTACTCAGGCTTCTACGCTCTCTGTTAAATGCAGGGGAATCTCTGTTCTCCTTGGTAGGCCTGTAAATCTGTTAATGCATCTGTTAATGCCTGGTAGGAGATCTCGTCAAGTGACCTAAGATCAACTGTCCTTCCCAAGTTCTTGTCCCCATATCATCACTGTATCTTTTTTTAATTTTTTTTTGCCTTTCTGGGTGGAATGCAGAATTCTAGTTCCCTAACCAGGGATTGAACCTATGCCAGCGCTTCTTGGAGTCTTAACCGCTGGACTGCCAGGGAAGTCCCACTGCATCTTTTCTTGCTTTACAACTGTTCTATCCAGTTATTGCTACTGACAGAAATAAGAGAAACTGTGGTCATTAGTGCCCCCTGCAGCCCTTCCTCCCACACTGCCTGTACCTTAAGCAGCAGTAGTCTTAACGCTGGCTAGGCTCCAGTGCAATAGATACTTTGATCTGGATTGAGACAGGGACCACAGACCTTGGTGAGTGCCATTTGCCAGGGAAGTAGATGTCTGAGAAGAGCTCCTTTGGCCCCACTAGAAAGGAGGCCATGCTCCATTCCATCATTGTAGCAGTGGAAGCGGGCTTGGAGATGGGAGCTTGCTTTTAGGAATGGAGATGGCTAGAAACACAGCCTGGATTTTTTTTTCTGCCCCATTTTATTGGACCACATTTCTAGCAGGAGTCTGTCATAGTTCCTTATTTTCCATCAACAGCCATAGTTATTTCTGACCTCTTAGAGTTATCTCTCAGAATACAAGGTTAAGTTGGATCCTGGAAAATTACCTACACTTTTTGACTACCTACAAGCAGTCAAACTTGCCTATGGTTTCTTTCTTTCTTTTTTTGGCTGCACCACTCGGCTTGAGGGATCTTAATTCCCTGACCAGGGATCAAACCTGGGCCCCTGGCAGTGGAAGCACAGATTCCTAACCACTGGACCACCGGGGAATTCCCTGTGATTTCATTTTGAACTAGTTGACACATATTCCACCAGGAAAATAGGAGAGGTCAGATTTGAGGAAATGGCATTCAAGCAAGCTAGTGGGTGCTGTTTTTCTAATAACTTTAATTTACATAAATTGTTGAATTTGCAAATTTATTTATTTTTTTTAATTTTTGAACTTGGAAATTTAAAACAAATTTTCTTTGAAAAGTGTTTGAAAAAGTGGTCCACAGTAATCTTTCCTGAGTGCCTGTGAGCCCTATCTATATCATTTCTGGTTATCATAGCTCTTAACAATTTCGTTGCATAGTTTATGTTTAAATTATGTTTACACATGTATATGTTTTATTAACATATATATGCTTTATTTTCCTGACTATACCTGAGCTTACTGTGGGCTTCTTGAGGGGCGGTTCATAGCAGTGTTGCAGTAACTAGATGGATGGATGGATAGATGGATACGCAGACAGAAAATAGTTTATCTTTAGACAACAGGATTGGATTTAATCATTTAGTCAGCTCTGTTAGTGGTTAATATGTCATGTGTGTATGTGGTATGTCTAGAGGAATATGCTTCTCTGGAACCATGAATAAAATTGTTATAATTTTAGTAACTGTTTACCCTATAATTAGCATATATGTCAATTAATCAGTAACTGTTTACCCTGTAATTAGCATATATGTCAATTAATAACATTGATTAGATTAATTCTGATTCTTGTATTAGAAAATACAAGAATTTCAAAAATATTTTTTGGTAACAGTTTCTCTGTTGAAGATTGCAGAATGTTATCATTATAATGGAATAATTAAAACTTAGCTTTACTTTCTTTTAAATTTGTGCTTTCTATATGGTAAAAATAGAGACCTTTAATCCTTACTTTAATTTATTATTACTGTGATATGGTGGAAAGACCGGTAGACTGGATCCAGGGACTCACCATTAACAAAATGTATGATCATTGGACAGATCACTTTACCTTTGGGGGTCTCAGTTTCCTTATCCACAAAAAGAGGAATTGAAGCAAGTGATTTCTAAGATCTTAACCTCCTGTAAGGAAGCCGGCATGTAGGTAAAGAGATTGGCTAATATATTGTACTGTGATGGGAATAAAAATTCAGATAGCTGGCTGTATTCATGCACAGTGACTATGAATGAGCATTGATTTCTTCATCTGTAAAATTGGTGGGAGTTTGACTACAATTCTGGTTCTTTTATAAAGCCTAATTATTTTTTCATGAATTTCTGTGGTTGATTTCTTAATGTTAAAATGTGACTAGTAAAACTTTTTTTTCCCCCTTCAATTTAGTGAATGCAGTAGTAGAGCAGTATCTCTATTCAACAAAGAAGGGTGTTTGGAGATTGTATTAAAGTATTTAAGTAGGTTTTCCACCAATGTTGACCTGGCTATTTCAGTAGGTAAGTGAAGAAAAGTATGTGTGCCCTTATTCAAAATTTTTTATTCAGACATAACTTATTTACTCTACAGGAGTGATTTTTTTTTCTCATTGTATATAAATGCATAGCTGAGTTCTATTCTGAATCTTTTAAAATGTGTGATTAATTCTTTACTTACTCATGCAGTTTTCCTGCTCTTGTCTCTTAAGAGGGAGGAAAGTGATTATGTGAGCATATGTGGTTTCTAATGTCTGAACATTCTTAGAAGTTTTTATTAATTCTTGAAAGTTTTCATCTCCCATTTACGGAGAAACAGTAACCCAGAACTGCCAGGCCTTTGAGCCAAAGTTAACTGGAATGTAGACGATAACCTCTGCTTTTTTTGAGAGAGGAAGATAAGTGATTGGAATTTCACGTAGGCCTGCTTCCCTTCCAGACAGGGAAAGCAGAGTCTGGCAGCGTTGGCAGCCTTGGCCCCCTCACTTTCTGTCCATGGGGTTACAAGCCACTGGGGGCCCTCATTCAGCAGGGAAAGGAGACAGAAACCAGCGGGTGGGTTCTGTCTCAGCAGAGCGCTGGGGGCGAGTGGAGAAATAATGGAGAAGAAGCGTTTCTTATTCAGCTCGTCATAACGATAGGCATCTGTCCTTTTATTGGACTACGCGTTTCTCCTGCCAAGGACAAGTTTATCCCCCTTAGTGAAGTGAGTTCCCCTTGCCGATGTTTCTCTTGGCTGTAGTGGAAATAGAGCAGAAAAGGAAAAAATAATAGTGGAATAAATACTACTGGGGAAAATTTTTAAATCAGTTTCTCAGAATGGAATCTTTGGCAGAGGGGAGACTTCCGAGTAAATGTGGATTTTAAAAACACTTGAAGTAGAAAGTTGGCAGGTGACTTAGTCTCAGAGGACAGTCTTTATTACAATAAGAGAATTTCAGGAAAGTTCATAGCTTTGAAAAGAAAAACTTCACTTCTGTTTTTTGGGCCTTAAGTTTTATAGATTTGGTTATTTCATTTTTTTCCATAAGAACTTTTTAAAAGAACTTTTAAAAAGGGGGACCAGAATAAAGTAATTTTACAATGTCTAGCAGTATTTTCTCTGGCACTTAGCTAGGTTCATAACATTTTTAAGGCAAGTGTCAGATTGCTTCTGTTTTGAAAATCAAGCAGAGCTTATATATAGTAAAGTGAAATTCTGAAATTCCATACCATGTATTAATATAGCTTTCTTTGAGCTCATGCTGTCTTAGCAATCACAACTTATCTTGGCTTTTTGTTAAAGTGAATTTAATTAGTCTCTTAATGCAAAAAAATTATACATATATGCATACATATGGATTTGTATATAAATGTATTTTGGAATGCAGACTAGAGCACAGCAATAACATGCATTTTGACTACTAATTTGGATGGAAATGATCTGCTTTGGAATTTTTAGACCTGGAAAGAAATGGATTTTATGGAATGCCGTATCTCAAAGAAAATAAATTTGGGCTTCCTCATTTGTGCTTCAGAGGTCTCTTCTGTCAAGCTTTTCATGCAATCCCAGTTGTTTTATACTTTCAGTTAATTATTTCTAATTTATAAGTTATAATCCATGATCTTGTTTTACTTGCGAGAGGACTTAAATGCTAAATGAATCACATGTCTATTAATACTTTACCCATCTCTTAATTTACTCGTATTTTTATATAAAATACCTTTTTTTCTTAAATGTGCTATATCATAAATTAACTTTTAAGATGATGCTAAATTTTTAAAAATGTCCCCAAACCTAGGACTTGTCATAGACAACAGTTGTCCATGCACTGGTGTTCAGCCTACAGGCTGTTTGCTGCTGGTCTGCGACGAGTACAGAAATTGAGACTAAATCTTTACAAATGTTTATAGTAATTCCACATTGTCATGGCAATTGAGAGCCTTTTAATTTATAAAAGTATAGTTCTGTAAAGGATTATAAATTAAGAAAAAAGAAAAGTCTTTTATAGCTCAGATAATTTGGGAAGCCTCATTTGCATGAACTGTGTTTGAGGAAAAGGGTGAATCTCCTACAAAATGTGTCCAGAGAAGTAGTAAAGATGCACATTTTTTTGATGAGTCATTTTGGTTTAAATTATCCTGGCGGAGTTCACGTGTTTCTGAATATTTGATTTTTGTCTTTATAGCATATTGTTTGCAGACGGTGACTGAAGATAACCCAGAGCTACTGAAATCTTTCAGTACCCCAGCATTGCATGTGCTGGAATCAGCAATGCTTTCTCCTGTCAATTCCATGGAGTATTTTCTATTGAAGACACTGGTGGCAGGTAAAAGTTAACCACATGCGATAGTATGCATTTTAGTAACTTGTAGCAGGCAGAAATGGAGAGGCCAAAATTCAATCAGTCCCCCATTTCACCACATCAGGACCTTCTGTGTTTATGTCTGTTCTGAAATTTTTAATATTTAAATGGAAACCTTTCATTCAGGCGATTCTGCATAGTTTCAAAGCCTTATAAGATTAGATGTGTTTTCAATTTAATAAACTCCTGTTGTATGATAAAGAAATGGTGCTGTCAGGACCCCCTCTTATTTATGAAACAGTGAGTTCAGAAGTTGACTGTAGGCATCTAAGACATGACCACTGATTTTCCTATAAGATCTGCACCCCCAGTGCTTCTCCCCAGAATTTCTAAATACAGAAATAATCTGATGACATGCAAGTATTAGGTAACTTACTGTGTATCTTCCTCTCGCCCTTTGTTTGGTCTTCAAGGATAATTCATCCTGAGAGATGTTTTGTTTTTTTCCTACACTGATAAAATACCCACAAAATAAAATTTACCATCTTAACCGTTTTTAAAGTTTTTCTTTTTTTGGCTGCACTGCTCTGCTTGCGGGATCTTTACTTTCCCAACCAGGGATTGAACCTGGCTTCCTTAGTGAAAGCGCCGAATCCTAGCTGCTAGACTGGCAGAGAGCTCCCCTGCTTCTTAACCATTTTTTTTTTAATTGGAGAATAATTGCTTTATGATATTTCTTAAGCATCTTTAAGTGTACAGTTGTGTTAAGTATATCCACATTGTTGTGTAACCATCTTGCAAAACTGAAACACTGTACACATTCAACAGCTCCCCGTGTATGTTCGTCCATCCATGGGTAGACACTTTGGTTGCTTCCACTCTTTGGTTACTGAATAATGCTGCTAATATGGGTCTGCAAATGATCTGTCTGATTCCTTTCAGTTCTTTTTTAACGTAGCAGAATATACCCCAGAACTATTTTTATTTTGTCACATTTTTAAAAATTAGTGTACTTAGCAGTAGCTATTGTTCTGGGTTCACAAGTGAAACACCAAGAACCTGCTCCCTGGTTTGTCCGTGAGATCTTGTAATGCATTCCTTTCCGCTCTTGGACTATAAGAAACTGCTCACGAGAGCGTCTCAGGTTAAGATGAAAGAAAGCCGAGGCAACTTAATTTGTCATTGTGAAAGAAACTCGATCAGTGTCCTCTTGGTCTCTTGGCTCTCTGATCTGTCAGGGCAAGGCATTGTATGCCAGGAATGGGAGACGATTATGAAGGACCGCTGCAGTAAAGGCAGCTGCCTCTGGGCAGAGGTTTTTGACATTTAATAAGAACTCAACAAAGGCAATAGGACTGAGATTTCTTGAAATTATGCCTGAGCTTATAGAACCAATATGGTAGACACTGTATTTAATAAAAGATTTCACAGTCGATTTCTTTGTCCTCATGCTTATTTTTTTCCACAGGCACAATTTGGAATCTAAAGGACATTATTCCTTCCAAGAGTCAGGCAGAAATCATAAATGCCATACTAAAGATCTTATCTGAAGTTCTGGAAATGGATGCTGGTGAAACGGTTATTCAAATGAAGGAGGCTGAAACTCAAAGGATAAAAACCGCTGCAGAGACTGAGGACACATTACAGAATGCTAATGGTGATGATCTGATGGAAGATGATGAAATGGAAGAAATTCCTCATAGAAGGAAAGTCAGAAGGAAAACTTTCATTTCAGATTTACTTCCAGTAAGTCAGATTGGTGCTTTCAAACATAGATTAATATAGCTATTTTCTTTCAATAGATATCCTAAGCTCCATAGGAAAATGTAGCAATTAATTATGAAGTGAATTTCAGTAAAAACTGCCATGTTTTCCCATTAATTCTCATTAAAACATTGGAAATTTCCCAAAGGAGAAAAAAAATCTGAAATGAAACATTTATGTAGTAGAGAAGTTGAAAGGTGGGTAGACCAGTACTTTTGCAATATTTCAGAAACATACAGTCATGTGATGAAGAGTCTGAGCTCCCAAGGCAGAGGACATGGGTTCAATCCCTGGTCAGTGAACTAGGATACTTCATGCGGCATGGTGTGATCAAGGAAAAAAAAGCTTGTGGTCCTCTTCCTAACATTTGTATCTCCCGCTTAGGTTTCCTGCTCTCTCCCAGACTGTCTTCAAGCTAAAGGATTTTTACTTTGCTCAGATAGCCCCTTGCATGCTTGTCTCAGCTAGAGTAGCAAGCCAAACTTACATTTACCCACTACTGTTGAGCAGAGGAGGTAGGGTCACCGTGAGAATTAATGATGGTTTTTAGGTTTGCAGCCTGGATAATTGTGGCTTACTTGTGCTTGGTATGATGTTGGAGTGCAGGTGACCAGTCTCCAGTGCAGGAAACTTTCCAGCTGAGCCCGTCAGCAGAGATGGAGCTGTTCTTTGGGAAAACATTTTTCCCAAGGAGGAGAGCAAGTCATCAGAAAGACAGGGAGGACGGCGATTATTCATCCAGCTGTGCATTTTCCGAGCTTACGCTGTGTGCCAGGCACTGTGCCAGAGGCTACTGGTAGAAAGATGATTAAGTCATATTTCCTGTCTTCAGGGACCTTTTCCATCTTGTAAGGATAGACACGTAATTTTAACTTATTACAGTGTCTGTGCTAAGAGCAGTGGTAGGGCTGTGCCCAGACTTCTGAGCGAGTAGCCACACCTGACTCAACCCTGACGGGAGCAGAAAGGGAGAGTCTCTCAGAAGAGGCTTGGCGGACAGAACACCTGAGCCGTCTGAAAGGATGGGGCAAGAAACAGCGTGGTGAAAGCAGGTTAGTGTTGTTCGAGGGGCCTGGAGGCAGGAGAACCAGTCAGGAGGCTGCCGAAGTCATTCTAGGGAAAGATGGTGATGCTTGAACTGGGAGGGCCCTAGTGATGTCCTCTCACCCTCTCTGCCATCTCAGTGTGGCCTGTCCTGATTCGTGTATGAGAAACTGAATCTGAGAAGTACCTTAAGTCGGTGTCTTCGAGTTTGAATAGATTTATTTTTAAAGAATTCTTTTTAAAAAGAAAAAGTTATTTATTTTTTGGCCACACCATATGGCATGTGGAATTCCCTCATAGCTCATTTGGTGAAGAGTCTGCCTGCAATGCAGGAGACCTGGGTTCAGTTCATGGGTGAGAGAGATCCCCTGGAGAAGGAAATGGCAACCACTGCAGTACTCTTGCCTGGAGAATCCGATGGACAGAGTAGCCTGGCGGGTTACAAGTCTGTGGGGTTGCAAGAGTCAGACATGACTTAGTGACTGAACAACAGCAGCAGCAACATGGGCTGTGGGATCTTAATTCCCAACCACAGACTGAACCCATTAGTAGCCCAGAGTCCTAACCACTGGAACGCCAAGGGAGTCCCTAAAGAATTCTTAATGGGCATAAACTCATCAGTATACTGCCTTCTTACATTCACGAAGTCTTGTAAAGCTGAATTGGTGACGTTCTAAAGCACTCAAATGTAGTTAAGAGCTGTTTTCTCAGTCCCCACGAATGGCTGTTAGGTGCAAAGCTTTGTGTTAAGTGCTGGGTTGAATTAAAAAATGAAAAGGCCGTCCTGCCCTTGAGTTGCTTGGCAACTCAAAATCGTATCTCGCTTGTGCATCTGAGTCAGAGTGGGTAGAATTTAAAGTCAGTAAACAAGATCGACAAAGGCATAGCTGTGAGCCTTTTCATCCTAAAGGGTGTTGATAGAACCCCAGCAACATCTTCTCAGGTGCCACATGGAGGTAAGTTACAGACCTGGGGTCCACATGTGGAACGTCAGGTGTAACAGATTGGGGCTCGGAGGCTCTTCCGAAGGGCTTGGCATCGCACTGACCAGGTCACTTTATCCTGATGGACGCATCTGTACTGTGTTTTCCCACCCCAAAATCCCATCAGGGGAGCAGTGGGAATTCCCTTGGGCTGTCCAGGGACTCTTGAGAGATGGGACATCCCTGGCTGGGGATGGGAGAAGAACCACCTCTGCGGGTTTGCCCCATCTCCAGCTTTGCTTCCGGGGGACCCTCCAGGGAATGGGTGAGTGTGGATTGGGATCCCAGTCCACCAAGATGAAGTGCCGCTGTTTGAAAGTTATCAGTGTTTAAGTGTTATTTAGAGATACACATTCTCAAGTATTACTTACAGATAGAATTTTGGTGCTTAGAAAATGCAGTGTTTTCTTCTAACAAGTTTGCTTTTTAAAGTCTATCACCATAGCTGAGCAGACTGGATGATTAACATGCTGGTCAGGCAGCCAGTGTTCTGGTGCCAGTAGGGTGCTAAGCATTGTGCTGCCTGCCATGTGCCAGGAATACAGATTCACAGGCAGGCAGCTCAGGTCTTCACGCTGCCCAGTGACTTGTGCAGGAATCCTTTAGAATCAAAATGTTTTATTGCATCATTTAACTTGAGAAAGGGAAGGAGAGAACCAACCCAGGTTGTTGCCATAACATGCAGAGGTAGAACACTCAGCTTCTGCAGTTCTCAATTATCAAATCATGATCTATTTTCTTTCATCTCCTTCCCTACCCACTCTCCCCTCTCACTGCTGAATACTTTGAAGCAGATCTCAGCTGTCATAACATTTCCTCTAGCTTGGTTCTTTATGTCAATTTGATAACAGTAAGAAGCAGGGGATTGTTCTGAGCAGGAAAGTCAGGTAAAGAAATGGAACTTCTTTCAGAGTTGTTTCATGCCAGCTCTTCATACATGTTAAGTGGATGAGAGGCCAGCAAGGGTGTGTCTTATTTAGAGTCTCATCATACACATATGAAGTGAATAGGAATACATTTTCTGGGTTCGATCCCTGGGTTGGGAAGAGCTCCTGGAGGAGGGTATGGCAGCCCACTCCAGAATTCTTGCCTGGAGAATCCCCATGGACAGAGGAAGGTGGGCATGGGGTCACGAAGAGTTGGACAGGACTGAGCCACTCAGCACAGCACAGCAGAAGAATAAATTTTGGATACATTCTTGCCTGCAATAAAAGGAACATAAATATAGGGATTCCTAAAGTCTATCTATTAAATTAGCAGTCTGCTTTTTGTTTTTTTTTAAGAGTGTGTTTCAAAATTACAGTTAATTCATTGCACAGGAAGTTGCTAGAGGATTATAACTGAGTATGAACATTCTGGAAAAGGAGAACAGAAATATGTCATTGGATCTGTAGACATGTTTTTAACCTTTGATTCAGTAAATCTGAGGAAATAAGATAACCAAGTAATGTGAATTATTCCACACTAGAGGAATGCTTAATAAATTATAAAACATTCCTTTAACGGAATATTGCACAACCATTGAAAAGACAATTATTAATAGAAACTTTTGAGATTGGGAATCATCCAGACAACAAAATATAAATCATTTTTTAGCGTGTGCACTATTTTGGAATATCAGTATAGCTATTTCACTTTTCATAGGTGACTTGAGAATTAAGGTCATATAAATCTATGCAACTCATTTTGAGACTGTTAATTGATGTTAGGTTTACATTATTTATCTCCTCAAGAAAAAGCCCCCCTTTTTCTTCAGTCTTAAAGGACTGCTTTATTGCAATCTTCAAAGAAAGCCAGAATGCAGCAAACCCGTCTGCTCCTTAGCCAAGCTCTGTCGGTCACATGAGGGCCTGTTAGTAATTCTGGTTAGTGCAGACTTTTCCGAGAAGACATCTAAGCATCTAAAAGCAGGTTTGTTGTGTATAAGTGCCTGGCGTCTGTAACGAACCCTTGTTTTGATCTTTGTATGCTGAGCTACTTCTTAACACAGTTTATCAAGTTTCAGGGTGAATTCAGTTCAGAATTCCTGAATACTTATCTGTTCTCTCCAGCTAACTAAGCAACACTCAGAGAAACTGTGCAGAGATGGGAACCCAGGGAGCAGTGGTGTGCCGCACAGCGCCAAGCAGAATCATAATGCCTGCTTGTCCTTCCAGCCTTTTGTGGCTTTTCTTCTGCTTACCCACCCCCACCGCCAGGTCCTCCATTCCAAATGCAAATACCATTTAGTGGGCTTTAACTAAAGAAAGTCACCTGAAAATAGTTTTCCAAACCTTGGAGTGACAGTTGGTGGTTTGCCTTTTTTTTTTTTTTTTTAGCCCACCGACAAGGAGCTGAGAGAGGCCATAGCGTTGCTGACAGCTCAGCAGACTGCTCTGGAAATCGTTGTGAACATCTGCTGCAGCGAAGGTGTGTGACCAGTTCACATTTAGACATCCTCCCCAGCACCAGGAGGGCGCTTGCATGAGGATTATCTTAAACAGTCCAGTTCTCTGTGATCTGCACTCTTCCCAGATCCCACAGACGACGAATGGGAAGAGCTCTCTAGCAGTGATGAAAGCGACGCGTTCATGGAGAGCTCCCTCAGTGAATGTGGCGGGCAGCTGCTCTCTCCTCTCTGCCTGTCCCATGAGGTTCACACGGCTCTCACCCACCACCTCCTCCCAAAGAAGGTAATCTGTTTTCAGTCTGGGCTCACTCTAGAGCATCGAGAAGGTTTCAGAAAGCCATTCTTTCTGTGCACAAAGAAGTGTGCTAACCCCCCCAGGTGTGGGTGATGGGTCAGATGTGGGAAATGAAACCTCGAACAGCACTGGAGGTGGGCTGAAGTTTATCAAGCGTAACCATCTCACTTAGAAGTTGGGCTTTTATAAAGGAATCATGTGTTTAGGAAAAAAAAAAACCCTCTCCTTTTAATGTTTGCCTTCCTGTCTTTCTTAAATTTAGATTTTTGACAAAACTGCCTTTCCAAACAGCATTGCAGTTGACGTGTGCTCTAGGAACCCCACTTGGAAACCTTTGATTAGAAAGTAAGAACATCTCTCTTTTCAAAACCATTTGTCATTATGTTATTATTGGAAATGATGGACCATTAAACAGAAGATGCCGACTCCCCCTAGATTCAAGAGTTCTAGTCCTGTGTCTTGTGTATGTTCCCTAGAGAAGTGAGTGCATATGTGCACTAAGATGGGAGAATGCTCAGAGCAGTGTGGTTCATAGTTGCCCCAACCTCAGTGTCCATCAGTGGCAGGATGGATAAATCAATGCCGACGTGATCATACAATAGAATACATGCAGCAGTAAAAAGAATCTGAACTGGAACCACTCACAAACTGGTGAGCAGTTCATTGAGAGGTGCATACATCGATGGTTCCTGGGCTTCCCTGGTGGCTCAGCTGGTAAAGAATCCGCCTGCAATGCGGGAGACCTGAGTTGGGAAGATCCCTGCAGAAGGGGAAGGCTACCCACTCCAGTATTCTGGCCTGGAGAGGTCCATGGACTGTATTGTCCATGGGGTCACGAAGAGTCAGACACAACTGAGAGGCTTTCACGTTAGGGGTCAGGGAGGTGGGTATGATAGGGAGGGGGTAGGTGGGCTGTGAGGGTGCTAGCTGCATTTCTTTTTTTTTCCTAGTGAAGTAGGGTTGGTTTCCAGTATTGTGTTAGCTTCAGGTATACATCAAAGTGATTCAGTTATATATATGTATTCTTTTTCAGATTTTTTTTGTCCCTTCTAGGTTATTAGAAAATACTGAGTAGAGATCCCTGGGCTATACAGTATGTCCTTACTGGATATCTGTTTTATATATAGTAGTGTGTATATGTTAATCCCTAACTTCTAATTTATCGTTCCTTGCCTTTCCCTGTTGGTTACCATAGTTTGTTTTCTATGTGTGTGAGTCTATTTCTGTTTTGTAAATAAGTTCATTTGTATCTTTTTTTTTAAGATTTCACCTATAAGCAATATATTTGTCTATTTCTGGCTTACTTCACTTAGTATGATAATCTCCTAGTCCATCTATGTTGCTGCAAATGGCATTATTTCATTCTTTTTTGGGGCTGAGTAAGATTTCATTGTATAAATACACCACATCTTCTTTATCCATTCATCTGTTGATGTACATTTAGGTTGCTTCAGTGTTTTGAGTATTGTAAATAGTGCTAACATTCTTACCTAGGTGCACCAGTATTTTGCTTTGTAAACTATTAAACTCTGTATATTCCTGAATGCATTATGTGGGTCATATTTCACATTTAAAAATAGGCTTTAAAAACGCTGCCATGCACAGAAATTTTTCTCAAGCAGATTCCATACGACTCATCAGATCCCTGTGCCTCAGAGGCCTTGAGTGCTCAAGCAGTTTGATCTGGTCAGATTCACAGTTCACCTTAAGTGTTCTTGCCAACTGCCCGAGACCTCCTTCCGCTTGCAGACGGCCCCCGTCAGAACCGGATGCTTAGGTTCAGCGTCAGTGCTGAATTCTGTCGGGTGACCGAGAGGGCCAGACAGCATCCTCTCTCTTCCTTTCCAGAATGAACACTATACAGTGCAGAGCGCTCGTGTGTCTGCAGAGCCTCGTCTCCCTGCTGGATGTGGACCATCTAGGAGGACCTGCTGCCCTTCAGACTCTTGCACAGCACCTGTCACAGCTGCTGTTTTCTCAGCCAGGTAAATGTGCTGTGTATAGTGTCCTTTTTTTAAATTTTACTGGAGTAACGTGTTTGTCTCTGCCATACAGCAGAGTGAATCAGCTGTGCATGTACATGTATCCACTCTTTTTTAGATGGTTTTCTCATGTAGGCCATCACAGAGTATTGAGTAGAGTTCCCCGTGGTATACAGTAGGTCCTTATTAGTTACCTATTTTATGAATAGTGGTGTGTATATGTCAGTCCCAGTTTATCCCTCCCCTCTCATCAGCCTGGTGACCATACGTTTGTTTTCTAATCTGTGACTCTTGGTACATCTGAGGAAATAGAGTATTTTACATAGTAAAGGAGAATTCTCCACATTACTTTACCCTGCATGTATGTCTGGAGTGAGGGTTAATATGGGAGATATGAATCTGCTCTAAACTGTTTTAACATTTCCCCTTCTTAGAACACTAAATCTAAGAGCTGAAATTCTTAGAAGATCAAAATATGGTCACTTTTGACTTAATACGAGTTTCTGTATAAACAGTCCTTCAAGAGTTTTTCCCTGATTCTTTTTTTTTTTTTGGCTTTGCTGGGTCTTCACTGCTATGTGGGCTTTTTTCTAGCTGGTGCACAGGCCTCTCACTGCCGTGGCTTCTCTTGTTGCAGAGCATGGCCTTTATGGGGCTTCAGTAGCTGCGGCTCCCAGGCTTTGGGGCACAGATTCTGTAGTTGTGGTGCATGAGCTTAGTTGCTCTGAGGCATGCGGGGTCTTCCCGCATCAGGGATCGAAACCATGTCTCCTGCATTGGCAGGCAGATTCTGACCACTGGGCCACTAGGGAAGCCCGATCCCTGACACTTTATAAGACATCTATTTTGCTCTCTATGAAGAGGTGCTGTGTATTTAATGGTGCCTGTTTTAGAAGTTCTAGGTTAATTTTGAAAGATTAAGTAAATAAATGTTCAGAAACTCATTATATAGTTGTCAGCATTTGTCAGTTTATAGATGGAGTTTTCAAGTGATCTCAGGCTATGTGTTCTTTACCTGGTGCGATCATGTGAAAACCATGCCCGTCCATATCTAAGACAGGGTATAGACAGGATATAAGCAGTGCCATTCCCATTCCGAGCCTGGACTGAGCCAGCTCTGGAGTGCAGGGGTGGCTGTCAGTGGAAGCTGGCCAGGTGATGACTAAAGCTTTGTATTTCTTTCCCAGTCTTATAAACCTGAGAGATCTGGGGACTTCCCTGGTCATCTATGGCTAAGACTTCACCTTCCACTGCGCGGGGTGCAGTTCAGTCCCTGGTCGGAGAACTAAGATTGCACACGATGTGAAGAATGGCCAAAATTTTTTTTAGGAAGTAAACCTGAAGAGACCCGGATGGCATGGGGAGTAAGGGGGATGGCTCCTGTCAGCCCAGCAGTGTCCTATGGAGGGGTGGCTGGCAGAGGGCTGCTACTGCTCATGCCCTCTCCCCTCCACCCATTCCCGTGGGCTCCCTGCAGGGAGCAGGGCCACGCAGGAGAGTCCACAGCCAAGCCCCCGGTGAGCAGGACTTACCCAGGTCTCTTAGTGCGCCCAAGACTCGCTTAACTTGAGTGACCCCTTATATTGCCATCTCTTTCCTCTGGGCCATTTCTCAATGAGAGTCCAGTCAGGGTCCCACTGGCTCCATCCCTTGCCAGCATGAAGAGTTTATTTCACAGGAAATAAGTGCATGTATTCTGCCCCTCTGCTATAGAGAAAACACTTCGGTGTGTTTCTCCTACTTCAGCTGGTTGCTTGTGGTCACTGGTACATCCCCATTTATCGCCTGGAAAGATCACAGGAAAACCATAACAAGTTGAGTCTTAGGGAAATAATTAAAAGTTTCTGAATTGCAGGAAAGTATAAACACTTTGATTTTTTAGTAAATTTCAATTTCATAGCTTTGTTGACATAGCTGTTTTATCAGAATGAAATTTTATATTTAGAGACAGTATTCTTGTATAGTCCTTCCAGATATTTGGGATTTATTAAGTCATGTAACCCTGTGAGTTCTTTTTTTTTAAATTTATTTATTTATTTATTTATTTTTTTATCACAACCATAGTGTATCTTTTTTTTTTTTTTTTTTTTTTACATGTATTCCCCATCCCGGTCCCCCCTCCCACCTCCCTCTCCACCCAATCCCTCTGGGTCTTCCCAGTGCACCAGGCCCGAGCACTTGTCTCATGCACCCAACCTGGGCTGGTGAACTGTTTTACCCTAGATAATATACGTGTTTCAATGCTGTTCTCTTGAAACATCCCACCCTCGCCTTCTCCCAGAGTCCACAAGTCTGTTCTATACATAGGAGTCTCTTTTTCTGTTTTGCACATAGGGTTATCGTTACCATCTTTCTAAATTCCATATATATGTGTTAGTAACCCTGTGAGTTCTGGGTGGATAATGTGAACTGTTACTGAGGAATTTGGTGCGGAGAAGGGGGCTAAAGTTCTTTACATTTTTGTGCTACCATGTTTGAAAGTAATGTATGAGGATGGTACAGCTGTATTGTATTTAACTTACTTTCATCTTAATGCTTAAATACAGCCTGAATAGTTAGAAAATTTGTGATACATACCTCTATAGGCTTTTTGTGGCTGACATCAGAGATAAAAGGAAAAAGTTTTTAGTAGAATCTGGCCCTTGCATTTAAAACACCTATATTTTGTCTCCTTCATTTAAAATATTGACCTTCAGAACATCAAGAGATTTTTAGCAATGTTGTGTTTTCAAATTGGGTCAGTTTGTCATTTGTTCCATTACATGGGTTCTAAAATCATTTAGGATTCCCTGTTTCCCTAGGTTTGGGGAAGAAGAAAGCTTCTTCTCATAACAATTAAAATGGTCATAGCTCCCATACTGGGATATGCTTTTTATTCCATGTCAACATTGAAAATAGGTCTGTAAAATTAAATATCATTTGCGGCTTGATTACTTGTGGGTTGACTATTTACCTACATTTAGGTGTGCTGCAAATTCTTTGATCCTATACAAAGTTGTTGAGAGGCAAAAAACGTTTTGAATCACTTAACTTCTTTTGACATTTACTTAATTTCTTTTGACAACACCATGTGTTGCTGACCTTTTACTGAGAATTTGTCAGAAAGGCAAAGTCACTTGAACTTCCTCCTCTAATTTGGGTTAGATAACCAGAAATATGAATTAAGTAAAAATCTTCCAAATTTAGGGAAAATATGAATTTCATGTAATATAAAATAGTAGTGTAGTTTAGATTAGGATTTTGAATCTTAATTGTGTTATGTGCAGCTCACAAATATCCATGGTTACACTTACAGCTTTAATCAAACATAAGTTACTTTTCGAAACCAGTATGGTGACTTTTGGAAGTCAAAATTTTATGCCAGCTTTTGAGGACCTGTTAAGTACGGGGTTTGATGAGCTAAGCATTATCACCCCACTTTCCTGATAAGGACACTGAGATTTAGAGGTCTAGGAACTTTTTCAGGAGTGTTCCTTTTTTGTTTTTCCTAAATTTTAAAATATATATATTTTTGTGTATTTATCGGCTGCACCAGGTACTAGTTGTGGCACTCGGGATCCTCGAAGTTGGTAGTGGCATGCAGGATATTTAGTTGCAGCATGTGAACTCAGTTGCAGCATGTGGGATCTAGTTCCCTGACCAGGGGTCAAACCCAGGCTCCCTGCATTGGGAGCTTGGAGTCTTAGCCCCTCGACCACAAGGGAAGTCCTTGGGGCCTTCCTTCTTTTAACAATTATGTATTGACTTAATGCCACGCACTGTGCTAGGTCCAAGGGATCCAGGCATGAACAAGATAGGCAAGGTTGCTATGCTCTTGGAGCTTGCATTCTCATATAAATAAAGGTTTAATGTCATTCTGGCCAGACAGGAAAAACTCAAAGCAAAATGGGATGAGGTGTCACATTAGTTAGTATGGAAGGATCCCTCTGAGGAGTTAACACTTCTCTGGCTTCTAATAATATCTGGCTAAGACCAGAATGAGAGGTCATACCATGTCAGAGGCTGCATTCTGTCCCTGTTCTGTCTGACCCTAAAGTATCCTGGTACCTGTTCTGTGATACTTACAGGAATTCCCTGCCTCTGTGCAGGGCATAGATCTAAAAATGAGAGAGCCCAAAGAGATAGCATTCCTTGATTCCAGTCTGTGCAGAAGCTGCCTTGTTCTCATGCAGCCGAAGGGAGGGCATCAGTATCTTTATACGGCTACAGGCACCGCAGGGGAGAAAGCCACGGTGTCTCCTGCCACATAACAGATCACCCCAAAACCTTGTGGCTTGAAACTGCGATAATCACATATAATGTTTTTCTCATGATTTCTATGGGGGAGGGATTTAGAAAGGGTCCAGTGGAGATGGTTTTCTCTACTCCACGATGTCCAGGACAGTGGTTCTCAACTAGTAGCAGTTTTTGCCTCCTAGGACTTCTTCAATGTCCGTTGGCATTTTTTGCTGTTATAATTTGGGAGGTGCTACTGGTATCTAATGGAGAAGGCAATGGCACCCCACTCCAGTACTCTTGCCTGGAAAATCCCATGGACGGAGGAGCCTGGTAGGCTGCAGTCCATGGGGTCGTGTAGAGTTGGACACGACTGAGTGACTTCACTTTCACTTTTCACTTTCATGCATTGGAGAAGGAAATGGCAACCCACTCCAGTGTTCTTGCCTGGAGAATCCCAGGGACGGGGGAGCCTGGTGGGCTGCTGTCTGTGGGGTTGCACAGAGTTGGACATGACTGAAGCGGCTTAGCTGCTGCTGCTACTGGTAAATAAAGGGTAGAGGCCAGAGGTGCTGTTAAGTGTCCCAGTGCACCGGGGACCCCACATGTACCACAAAGAATGATCTGGCCCAAAATGTCCACAGAGCTGAGGTTGAGAAACCCTAGCCGGGGGCCTCTGTCAAAAGACTGGGAGGCAGAATCGTCTTGAGGTCTGTCCACTCACATGTCTGGTAGCATGGAGCTGTCAGCCAGAACGCCCAAGGTGACCTCTTTATGTGACCTTAACATGATGGCTGGGTTCCAAAAGCGAGAGCTGAGAGAGAGCAGAGAGCAAACACATGTGAATCAGGTGGAAGTCATGCCTTCTACCACCCAGCCTGCCACTTTCACACGTTCTCTTGGTTGAAGAAGCCACAAAGTCCCACCTAGGTTCAAGGGGAGGGGAAATAGACTCCACATCTTTGTGGGAATTGGCAAGGTTCTGCAGAATCATGCAGAACTGGAAGTACTGTGGTGGCTGTTTTTGGAAAACATAACATATCACGTGCATCAGTCACTCTCCCTTCCCACCAAAGCGGGGAGGGAGCCAGCTCACCTGGTGGCCCTTACCCTTCCGTATGGCTTTGTTAGCGTAATTGTTTATTGCTGTTGTGTTCTGTCCTGTATGAGAAGAAGGGACAATAAGAAAAGAGTAAAAATGAACCAAAGTGGGAAGGGGAAGTTGGGTCAGTAAAAACCATGAAAGCCACTGAAAAGCGGAGAAGCATGGTGGCCTGGCCCTGCGCTAGCAATACTTTGCGGCTGGGCAGTGGGTTTGGGTTGCAGGGCGGCACTCTGATTTGGGTGATGACTTCACCCTGCGTCTGCTCAGCACGGTGATAGCGGTCAGTGAAAGCTGACTTCCATCTACAATGGCCCACTCAGGTCTGTTGTGTGATAAAGTGTGAGTTAAGTGAAAATTCAGTATCTACAAGTTGAAGACTGTCAGGATTATTTCAGCTGTGGTCATCTTTCAAACTCAGATATTCAGTTCACAGGGGGCTGTTCACTGGAAGTTTGGGCTTAAATATCAACGTGTTTTTATTATAGTAGCATATATTAACATCTAACAATGCTGTGCTTTGACTTTTTCTAAAAACTCACTCTTCTTAGAAAAAGACAAACTTATATTTCACTTCTGTGTTTTAGATTTTGCTAAGCACGTTGACTTTTTAGAAGCCATAAGTAGTGCCTTGAGGGCCCTTTTGCAAACAATGGCCTCCAAGAACATTCCTCAGGTAAGGTTTTAAAAATTTTTAAACTAGCCAAGATTCTGTATAAGGGAGGCAAAATTTTTTAAGTTTTTGAAGTAGTTAGTTCTATTAGAAGAGTAATGCATGTTCCTTGTAAAGTGAAAGCAAAAGTACCTAAAGCGTAAAAAGTGAAATCTCTTCCTCGCCGCCACTCTGCCACCAGAGCGTGGTTTTATTCATTTGTTTTGTGTTTGGCTGCACCAGGTCTCAGTAGTGACATGTGGGATCATTTTCCTTGCGGCCCAGAGGCTTCTCTCTAGTTGTGGTGCTCGGGCGCAGTAGGTGTCCCTTGGCACGAGGGATCTTAGTTGCCCGACCAAGGATTGAACCTCGTTCCCTGCATTATAAGGTAGATTCTTAACACTGGACCACTGAGGAAGTCCCCTATACAATTTTATTTTTATATGATATAATGTATTTGACATGTATGTTATATTTCTCTGAAAACCATTTGTCTTTTTTTTAATGCTGTATTACAGAAATTTTCAAGCATAACCTCCAAATACTCCACAGTGACCTGTCTATGCCTCTCTGATAGGTGCCTTATCACTTTTATTTTTTTACTTTGCATGAAGGAAATTTTCAGACATTACGAAAAGCAGAGATAATAGTAGTTACCTGCAAGCATTATCACCTAGTGTCAACAAGTCATTCTTTGTTTTCTTTCTATTTTTGGCTGCGCTGGTCTTCGTGGCTGTGCACGGGCTTTCTCGAGTTGTGGCAAGTGAGGGCCATTCTGTAGTTGGGGTTCATGGGCTTCTGCTCATTGCGTTGACTTTTCTTGTTGCAGAGCACGAGTTCTAGGGCTCGTGGGCTTCACTGGTTGCAGCACATGAGCTCAGTAGTTGGGGCGCACAGGCTTAGTTGCCCCGTGGCACATAAATCTTCCCAGACTAGTGGTCGAACCCATGTCCTCTGCCTTGGCAGGCAGATTCCTAACCATTGGACCACCAGGGAAGTCCCATCTTGTCTTTCTCATTTCTTTCATTTTCCCTACATTTTTGTTTTTGCTTCTTGGGATAGTTAAGGGAAATCATGTTATTTCACCCATGAATGTTTTATTGTGTGCTTCATTATGTTGTCTGTGACAGAATGAACTTTTTAAAAATTTAACTACATTACCATTATCTCAAACCCCCAAATTAACAGATGTTTTAAAATTATCATTTAATATGCAGTCTGAGTTCAGTTTTCCCTGATTGCTTTACAAATGTCTCTTTTTTTTTTAATGGTTTGTTCAAATCAGCATCTAAGCAGGATCCACATATTGTTCTTGGTTGATATTTTGGCCTCTTAAATATATATATTTTCATAATTCACATACCATACAGTTCTCCCATTTAAAGTATATAATTCAGTAATTTTTAGTACTGGACAAGGAAATGTCAACCCACTCCAGTATTCTTGCCTGGGAAAGCCCATGGACAGAAGAGCCTGGTGGGCTATAGTCCATGGGGTTGCAAAGAGTCAGACACGACTGAGCAGCTAGACAACACTTTTTCGCATGTTGACAGATTCTTAAATCTCTGAATCTATAGCATCTCCCCTACCTGCCCACCTTTCCTTATACTGTCTTTCCATTGAGTAAGTTATCATTTGTCCTAAAGAATTTCCCCCATTCTCAGATGTGGCTGGCTAAACAATGTTACTATTTAATGGGTCCGTCTGTCTTCCATATTTCCTACAAATTGAGAGTTATGTCTAGAGACTTAATTAGATTCAGGATCAGAATTTTAAGACAAGAATAATTTGTAGTGCTGTATTTATATTTTACTTTTATATCACAAGTGATACACTGTTGTAAAATAGCGATGTTAAAATCTTAATATCCATAGATTCACTTGTAGCAACCAGTGATTATTGTATAGATCCATTATTTCATTAGGGTTTGCAAGATGAAGATACCCTAATTTTGTCATTCCTTTTACATTTATTAGCTGTGATTCTTCCATAAATGAGAACTTATTTTATTAATTTTTGGTAACTTTGGAATACACTTCATACCAAAAAAGGTAGGGTATGGTTCTCTTTCCCCACCCAACCCTTTTTCCCAGAAAATGAGTTGGTGTCCTAGCAGTCTCTAAAAATGATCAGTGAATTTTTTTTTTTAAGTATCATTATGAACTCATTATTATTTACTTCATCCTATGGCATATAGTTATTAGTTTCAAAGTAACGCTGTTATTACTAACAACACTATTGGATGCAGTTTAAGATTTCTTTGTGATTCTTTTTGTTCTTAGGAAGAAAAATCCCTCTAGGACTGTACGAATTACTATGCTTTAAAGTTGCTTTGAACATATTCTCTTGTGTGGTTTGTTATAAAGTTAGCTTCAGTTTCAGCTTTTTTTAAAAGCATTTTTTGTTTGATTGCTCTAATTTTTATTTTTTAATTATATAAAATATTTACCCAATTTCAGAGTTAAAACTAAAGCAAAATATATTCAGGGGAAAATATGGTGTTTACACACAATGGAATATTATTCAGCTCTAAGGAGGACTGAAATTCTGGTACATATTACTGCATGAATGAACCATGAAGACATTATGCTAAATGAAATAACCAGAAACAAAAGGACAAATATTGTATGCATCCTCTATAAGGGACCTAGAATAATTAAATTCATAAAGACAGAAAGTAGAAGAGTAGTTACCATGGGGTCAGAGAGATATAGTTTAATAGGTTCAGGGTGGCAGTATGGGATGATGAAAAAATCCTGGAGATGGATGTTGGTGATAATTGGCTTGCACAGCAATGTGAATGTACTTACTGCCACTGAACTATACATTTTAGAACGGTTGAAATGGTAAGTTTTATGTATATTTTATATGCACACACACAGATATATGTAGAGGGATGTCTAATTTCTGTCCATTTGCCCCTGTTCTTTCCTTTGTGCCATTAGTAATCATCCTTATTGATTTTTTTATTTATCATTCTATTGTTCTTTTTCAGAAAACATAAGCAAAATATGTATGTATTTGTATTTCACCCTTTTTCTTAGAAGGAGTACTTCTGCACTTTGCTTTTCTCTCTCATTAATCATCATAGTATGCCAACATGTTTCTCATTTCTTTTTTTACAGCTAGATAGCCCTGCCTTGGGTATATATTCTGTATTTATTCACCGTGTTTTTGCATTGATGAATTTTTTTAGTCCTTTCCAGTCTTTTGCTATTACAAATAGAACTGCAGTGAGTAGCATTTTTACCGAAGTTCTGTTGTGTTTTTGCCATTATGTCTTTGTGGCCGATTTCTAGAGGTGGGCCTGTGGCTCAGAGAACAGATACATCAGGTTTTTGCCATTATGTCTTTGTGGCCGATTTCTAGAGGTGGGCCTGTGGCTCAGAGAACAGATACATCAGGTTTTTGCCATTATGTCTTTGTGGCCGATTTCTAGAGGTGGGCCTGTGGCTCAGAGAACAGATACATCAGTAGCTCTGCTCTGGGCGTTGCTGTCATCCCCCTTAGAAGTCTGAGCCATTTCAAATCTCCACCAGCATTGTTTGAGAGTGCCTGTATTGTCACACCCTCACCAGAAGAATATGTTGTCAAAATGTTGGATTTTTACTGGTTTGTTGGGTGAGAAATTGTATCTCAATTTTAATCTGCGTTTCTTTTATTATGAGGAGGTTGGAGATTGTTTCATGTCTTTTAAGGGCTTTTGCATTCTTTTTCTGTGACTTTCCTTGTCTTTTGCCAGCTTTGCTCCTGAGCTGGTGGTCTTTTTCCTTTGTATTAAAGGGTAGATCCCAGGGTTTCTCCCCCAGTTTACTGAAGCAGAAGCTCTGGGGAGGGGCCCAACAGTGTCTGTGTTTTAACAAGTTCTCCAGGCGATGGTCGTACACACAGATGTTTGAGAATCACAGATCTAAACCATGCTCACTCCCTCCTTTCTGAAATCCTCCAGTTTTGAGTAACATGTCACTAGACCACACCACCTACCTCTCAGTTACAGTCACCCACCATCCCCAGCGGCCACTCATTCCTTGAAGATTCCTGTTGTTGGACCCTGTTGTTTGCCACTGGTCCCGTCATGATTCTGGGTGATTTCAGAATCCACGTGGATACTCTTCCCAGGAACCTGGCTTTGCAGTTCTTGGGCCTCCTTTCCTCCTATGGGCTGTCTGCCATCCTTCCTTCCTTAGTCATTGCATGGCCACGCCTCTGGCTATCCAGTGCTATCCAGACTTGGCCTTCTTTCAGAGTCTAACGGGAAGTCGCTCATATTTTACTATTAAAATAGTATATGATGTTGGCCTCTAATATATAGCTTTTTAAGTTTTATTCTTTTAATTTTATTCCAGAAACAAAACTTTTGACATTCAGTTTCTATGAAATGGAAAGTGACATTTGCACTCTTGTGATACCTGCATCCATATGTGTGTGTGCAAATCAGCTTAAGGCACTTCCCTGGCAGTCCAGTGGTTAAAACTCCATGCTTCTAATGCAGGGATGCAGGGGGCATGGGTTCGATTCCTGGTCAAGGAACAAAGATCCCACATGCCACATGCCACATGGTGTGGCCAACAATAAAGTCAAATCAGCTTAAAATAAAAATTATTACTATGTGGTGGAAGCACTGTATAATTGAATGCGTTTTACAGTCTTTAATAACTTGCCATAGCACACAAATCTCGAGTCAGCTCTTACCTCGTGTAGATTCAGCCCATTTTTATTAAAGCTGCATGATCCTGTTTACATTTTCAAAACGTTTTGTTTTGTGACCAGTGTTGAAAAGAAGTTAGAATCTCTTTGGTCTGTGTACATCTGAATGAAAATCTTCACATGAGACAAATGGAACTGAAGGCTCTTTTACAGGCTGCCAGCTATGATAGAGTAAGTGGTGACAGTGACATGCGCAGACCTCATCCTACTTCAGAATTAGTTGTTTTTAGGAGTGTTTAGAATATGTAATAACCTGCGCATCCAGAGTTTGTGTCACCTGTAGAATCGTGCCGCCAGTACAAGAGACTCTCGCCAATCCCAAGCCCTGTGCTGTTGGAATTGGCTGAGTTTAACACGCTAAATACGCTCTCCTACTCTTTCAACAGTGCATGACTCCCGACCAGCTGATGACTCTGTGCACCGCAGGCGTCCACAGTAGTAATGTGGGGGTGAGAGTGAACGTGGTTAGTATTTTAGGAATCACAGGCAGCGTCCTAGCCAAAGAAGATGGCACGCTTGACATCCTCAAGGTAAATGACTGTGCTTCCAGCCTGAACCATTAAATCACTAAAAATGGGAGAAGAGTGACTTTAAAATCACTCCTGTGGATTTTAAAATCTCCTTTGGATTTCATGAGACGAAGTCATATCAAGAAGTTGTTTATTAAGATATAAAGTATACCCTTTGGCCTGGTCTTACTCCATGAGTCAGACTGAAGAGTCGAGTTGCATTTTGCCGTTTAACTTTATTCTGTAGATGTTTTTCAAAAGTAAATGTGTCTTCAGTGGAAGGCCAAGGTTCAAAGTTGTTCGAGTTGACCCTGGTTTGACTGTTGCGTAAAACGTGTGCACATTATATTCTCCTCCGGATAAAGAGCAATCCAAACAGTTTTCCCAGCACATCAGGCTGAAGTGCAGTCTGCACCTGGCCACCCAGTTCATCCCAAGACCACTCCATAAATTTTAAGGGGCGACTCTGGTAGTGCCCACACACAAGGAACTCACTCAGCATGTTTGCTTCCAGCACTTGATCTAAGCAAGTTGTTCAGCAACTGCACGGCCAGTGGTATAGCCTAGTAACTAAAGGGACAGTAATAGTTAAGTTACCCTTCTTTGTGCTAACAGTAATTGCCGAAATGTGGATTACTGGTAGTGGGTAATAAACTGGTTATTATGAATTAGTTCCTTTTTCTATATTATTTATTTATTTATTTTTGGCTGTAGTGGGTCTTCTTTGCTGGACAGGCTTTTTCTCTAGTTGCAGTGTACAGGCTTCTCTCTTGTGGAGCACAGGCTTCCGGGCTCGTGGGCTTCAGTAGTTGCAGTGTACAGGCTCAATAGTTGTGCATGGGCTTAGTTGCCCCAGGGCATGTGGGATCTTCCCAGATTGGGGATCGAACCCGTGTCTCCTGCACTGGCAGGCAGATTCTTTCCCGCTGAGCCCCCAGGGAAGCCCCTAAAGTACTTCTTAACTTGCTAAGAGCTTAACAGTGTGACTACTATTTTTTAGAAGCCTGTTTCAAAAAGATGACATGTGCACATCCAAGCCATTTGAAAGTGAGAGTTGCTCAGTGTTTCCAATTCTTTGTGACCCCCATGGACTGTATAGCCCAGGGAATTTTCCAGGCCAGGATACTGGAGTGGGTAGCCTCTTCCTTCTCCAGCGGATCTTCCTAACCCAGGGTTCGAACCCAGGTCTCCCGCATTGCAGGCGGATTCTGTACCAGTTGAGCTACCAGGGAAGCTAAGGCACATCACTCCTACAATGCCAGTCCCCTAGTTCCACTCCAGAGAGGCAGTCACTGTTCCCCACTCCTTCTGTGTCACTCCAGAGATTCTAATACACAGACCCTGAGTGAGAGAGCACGGCTGTATCGCTCTGTACAGGCGCACATGTGCCAGTGAGCACGTGTAGGTGTAGTCACCTCCCACCCCTTAAGACTGTAAAGTCCAAGGCCCACTTTAGAGGAACAGCAAGTTTTTCTCAGGCATAACATAAGATTTCCAAAATGTTTTTATTTAGTCACATTTTCAAGCATGAAGAAAAGTAGAAAGTGCAGTGAATTTTGTATAGCCATCAAGCGTATTTAGCAGTTATGAGTTTTCTATCATATGTACTTAAAGTAGTTCCTCTGCTGAATGTGTTAAATTAATGACATCCTGGTATTATGTCCTTACTGTTCAGTATGTGCGTCTTAAAAATAAAGACAGTTTTTTTGTATAGCCACCATTATTATGCCATACACAATTATTTCTTAATATGTCTACCACTTGGTCCATATTCAGATTCTTCCAGTTGTTCCCAAGATAACTGTTTACAGATTGTCTGTTTAAAGCAGGATCTAAGTCAGGTCTCCATGTTGTGCTTGGTTTGGGGTCTTCTAAGTCTGTCTTCATGGAGAGCTTTGCCCCGACTAGTACCTCCCACACCACCTCTTTCTCCTTCAGCTTCTGGGTCAGTTGGCTCCTAGTGTTTGGCCTTGTGGATTTGTCCTGTTGCCTCCTTGTGGCGTTAAGTTTGTTCCTTTATCTTCTGAATTTCCTGCAGAGTGGAACTTAGATCTAAAGGCTGGGTTAGATTCAGGTTAACTTTTTCAGTAAGACTACTTCATAGGTGGTGCTGTACATTTCATGTTTATAATAGGATATTAAATTGGTTTATTTATTTATATTTTTGGCTGTGCTTGGTCTTCGTTGGTACATGTGGGCTTTCTCTAGTTGCAGTGAGTGGGCACAAGGGCTTCTCTTGGTGCACAGCGAGGACTCTTGGGCACACGGGCTTCAGTATCTGTGACCCCCAGGTCGAGAGTGCAGACTCCGTGGTTCTGGCGCACGGCCCTAACTGCTCCCCCGCGTGTTGGGCCTTCCCAAACCAGGAACTGAACCTGTGTCCTCTGCTTTGGCAGGCGGATTCTCAACCACTGTACCGCCAGAGAAGTCCCAGTGGGATATTAAATTTAAAAACTCTCCTAGAGGTTTTCTTGACCACTTAAATTTAGATGAGAAAATGGAGGTCCAGAGTGAGTACCAAGGGCCTAGAGTCACCCTGCTGCTTTCAGTAGACCTGCATTTCAGACAGCATTTGCACTCTCTCACCCGTGATAACCGGTGTGCGCATTGCCCTGAAAGATGTAAATGGTGAAGCAAAACAACCAAAATAAACTAACTTAACTCGACTGGTTCTTCACAGATTGGGAATAGTTTGTTCCTTAGCTAGCTAATGATAAAAAAAATGAGTGGATGTTAAAAATCGTCACAGTGAAGCAAAATGAGATTATATGTTCTTTATTTTTTTAATTGAGTGTTTCTCATATAATTTAAAAAGCAGGAGTTTTTTTGTTACTGATAATATTTATATGCATTTGATACTATGGGAAAAGCCTTCTTGATGGAGATAGATAGAAGGGAAAATTTAATAATTTCCAGTATCAGTCTTTCATATGTCATTTATGGATCTGAATTCACTTTATTTACTAATATAAACTAAGGTTTTGAATTTATCTTGCTTACATTATACTTAGTATTTTTGTAAATATATGTTAAGTCTTTAGTCTTTTTAAAGTGTTAACTTTTCCCTAGCATTTGTATGTAAAACTTTATGCGTGAATTGTTGTCACATTTAGAGTTAGTGTTTATTTTGAAAACTGACTTTGAATATTGGGCGATCCTTTGCTTTATTTTGTTTTCTCCAGACTATCGGGTACTTTCTGCTTGAGGTTGCCACCAAAGACCCCTGTCTCGTGGTAGCAGGGGAGGCCTTGGATGCCCTCTTTGACGTTTTTGCAGATGGTAAAGAAGCTGAAATGGCCTCAGTTCAAATTAAATTGTTGTCTACTCTGAAAGAATTCCAGCCAGTCTTCAAAATGAAGGTATGTAATGTTTTATTTGGCTTCCCTGGTGGCTCAGTGGTAAAGAGTCCACCCGCCAACGCAGGAGACGTAGGGAGATCCCCTGGAGGAGGAAATGGCAGCCCACTCCAGTATTCTTGCCTGGGAAGTCCCATGGACAGAGGAGCCTGGCAGGCTTCAGTCCGTGGGGTTGCACAAGAGTCAGACACGACTTAGTAACTAAACAACAAGTGGTTTATTTAGAAATGGTGACGTCTCAGCGTCTGTGGAACAGGGTGTGTGTGGCTCCCTGCTTGCAGTCTTGGTGATGCATATAGCACTTCATCCCCGGTTCTGTGCAAATGCTTGTTGGCTGAGTCAGGGCGGCTGAGCCCTTTCTGTTGAATCACTGTGACTTGAGCCAAAATGGTGTGGACAAGTTCCTCTCTCTGCAGCGGTTTAGCAATGTTAACAGTACTTATGTGTAAGCACTGCAGTCCGGCCTGCAAAGCACTTTCAGAGACAGTGTTAAATTTATTTTATATCATGTAATGTGTTGTAGGCTGACTTCATTTATTTCCCTTTGGTCCTCTGAAAAAAAAAAGGCAAACAAACTCTAAGCCAGCCTATAATGGAGAATGTAGCTACCTTCGTTTGCCTTTTTATTGATCAACTGATTCATCAGAGGCATCAAAGTTAACTTTGAGTCAAAAAGATAAGTTAAAAAAACTGTTTTGGTGGTTGGGGGAAAGCAATGAAAAATGTTAAAAACAGCCTTTGATCACATATTTACAAATTTAAGTTGGCCAGCTTTCCTCTTATCTAAATCTATATATCTCATTTTGAGAAATAAAAATATTTGTGTTTTTTTACTTTACATTTTGAATTAAACTTTTGCCTTTAAATCTCTGTCAGGCAAGTAGAGGTTTTAATGGAAAATTAGCCTACTTTTGTTGCTTTCCAGTGTGTATTTCTTTTCTCTAACAAGCGTCAAAGGCAGAATTCAATTCCCATAGGCAGAACTCTGTGACAAGTTTTTGGCCAAATGATTGTATGTCTAGAAATGTAAAATTTTGAATTTTTTTTAAGGTGTTAAAAATAGTTTTCTTTCCCAGAAGAAAAAAAAATAGCCACACATGCCATGCACATTCTCACAGGTATATCAGTGTTCATTTAGGGACATTAATAACTGGTTTGTTTTGTAACATTTTCATGTTTTGACATCTTACATTTAAAAATATTGTAATATAGTGGCTGGCATTGAGTTAAGCTTCACTAGTAGGTGACTTTAGTCTTGAGGGGGAAAAATTAATCCATTTGCTCTTAATTTTGCTTTGTTTAAGCCTCCAGCTTTGTTTGTTTGGGTTTTGTTTTGTTTTGAGACATAATTGACATACTACAACATAGTTTTAGGTGTGCAACATAATGATTGGATATGTATATATATTGCAAAATGATTACCACAATAAATGTAGTTAACATGCATCACCACACATAGTGATAAATTTATTTTCTTGTAATGAAAACTTGTAAGACCTACTTTCTTAGTAACTTTCAAATATATAATACAATGTTGTTAACTGTAGTCACCTTGCATTACACCCTCAGGACTTACTTCACTTACACAGTTTATCCTTGAATGACACTGTGCAGATCTACTTAAATACATGAATTTTCTTCTGTGGTAAATACTGCAGTACTGTAGGATCTGCAGTTGGTTGGATCTTGGCCAACAGTGAACTTGTCCTTGGATTTTCAACAAGGGGATAAGGAATTGGCACCCCTAACCCCTGCAGTGTTCAGGGGTCATCTGGAACTGAAAGTGTGTGCCTTTTGACCACCTTCACCCATTTCACCCTCCCCACAACCTGGCGGGTTTATTTTTTGTTTTGGGGTGGGTTTTTTTTTCTTTGTTTGTTTTGGCTGCTCAGTGTCTTAGTTGGGGCACACTGGATCTTCAGTCTTCGCTGTGGCATGCAGGATCTTTAGTTGGCAGCAGGTGGTATCTAGTTCCCTGACCAGGGATCAAACCTGGGCCCCTTGCATTGGGAGCATGGAGTCTTAGCCACTGGACCTCCAAGGACATTCCCTTGGTATTTATTTTTTAAGCAGTGAGAAGTTTTATTCCCACCTGTTCCCAGCCTGCCTTGTGGGTAACCAAACTGAGTGGTGTTTCTCTGCACAAAGACAAATGTACGTTAGTATTTTTCCCCTTTATTATCCAACAGATAGCATAATATATTCACAGCCTTGTACTTTATGTGCTTTTACTTCACAATGTCTCCTAGAGACATTTCTAAACCAGTACATGGAGGGTGTCCACATTGTTCTTAAAGGTCACAGGCCCTCTAAACTTCTGAAAAAAGAGGCTGAAGGGAAAAGAGAAAATATCTCCTTTCCCTGAAGCCCCTGGGAAAGCAGATGTGGTTAAGAGTCATCAGACTCTGCAGAAGCAAATGCTTATTAGAGAGCAGTTATGTAAACTGTGAACTAGGAGAATAACCCTTCATCTCTGGAAAGTCCATTGTTCTGATAGATTTGCCTACCTAGTATGCATTGCAGTGATAGTGCTATTTAACTGAGTGTTTTTCTTTTCTCAAAGCTATAAAGCCCTGATGAAGTGTCTTTGTTAGCCAGAATGGCAGCATACAGTTTTTTATATGACTGTCTTTTTAAAATGAAACCACAGTTGCATTAAAGGCTGTTTGGTTTATATTTAGCCCCAAATTGCATTTAAACACAGCACAATGCATTTTACTAAAAAACTTCTCTAGAGCAGACATCCTTAAAAGGGCCCTGTATCAGCAGTGCCAGCATCACTTGGTAACTTGTTGTAAATGCAAATTCTCAGGCCGAACTCCAGACCTATCAAAAATCAGAAACTATGTGGACCGTCCTTGTTGCTTGGTCGCTTAGTCATGTCCAACTCTTTGTGACCCTGTGGACTGCAGCATGCCAGGCTTCACTGTCCTTCACTATCTCCTTGAGTTTGCCTAAATTAATGTCCATTAAATTGGTGATGCCATCCAACCATCTCATCCTCTGTTGTCCCCTTCTCCTCCTGCCCTCTCTTTCCCAGCATCAGGGTCTTTTACAATGAGTTGGCTCTTTGCGTCAGGTGGTCAAAGTATTGGAGCTTTAGCAATCTGTTTTTTAAATAAGCCTTCCAAATGGGCTTGTCTGGTAGCTCAGCTAGTAAAGAATCTGACTGCAGTGCAGGAGATCCCAGTTTGATTCCTGGGTCGGGACTATCCCCTAGAGCAGGGTTAGGCTACCCACTCCAGTATTTTTGGGCTTCCCTGGTAGCTCAGCTGGTAAAGAATCTACCTGCAATGAGGGAGACCTGGGTTCGATCTCTGGGATGTGAAGATCCCCTGGAGAAGGGAATGGGTTCCCACTCCAGTATTCTTTCCTGTATAGTCCATGGGATCACAAAGAGTCGGACACAACTGAGCAACTTTCACTTTGACTTTTCCAAATGCTAAAATTTGAGAACTACTGCTTAAGATTAGCAGAGAACGCAGTGGCACCCCACTCCAGTACTCTTGCCTGGAAAATCCCATGGATGGAGGAGCCTGGTGGGCTGCAGTCCATGAGGTCGCTAAGAGTCAGACATGACTGAGTGACTTCACTTTCACTTTTCACTTTCATGCATTGGAGAAGGAAATGGCACCCCACTCCAGTGGTCTTGCCTGGAGAATCCCAGGGACGGCGGAGCCTGGTGGGCTGCGTCTATGGGGTCGCACAGAGTCGGACACGACTGAAGCGGCTTAGCAGCAGCAGCAACAGCTCAAGATTAGAGGTGGGGGTTAGTTCATATACCATAATACTCATTCTTTTCAAAGTCTACAATTCAGTTTTTCTTGTAAGTATCATTAAAAAGGTGCACAGGATTTCCCTGGTGGGCCAGTGGTTAAGAATCTTCCTGCCAGGGCGGGGGACATGGGTTCAATCCCTGGTCGGGGAAGATCCCACATCCCAAGAGGCAACCAAGCCCGTGCACCACAGCTGCTGAATCCCCTCATCGGAGTTACTGAAGCCTGTGCACCCTAGAGCCCGTGCTCTGCAAAAGGAGAAACCTCCACAACAGGAAGACCATGTCCCGCAACTAGAGAGTAGCCCCTGCTCGCTGCAGCTAGAGGAAACCTGCACACATCAACGAGGACCCAGCACAGCCAGAAATAAATAAAAGGAATAAATAAAAGTTGCATGATCTAATTTATCTTTGTTACAGCTCATATACTGTGTTCCATCACCTTGGAAGTGAAAATGTTCCACCAATTCCTGGCAACTGTTTGTTCTAAAAATAAATACACCCCAAATTAAATGCTTTCTTATTTAAAGGAGTTAGTGGTAGATACCAAATCTCATATGATATTTTTTTGGCAGATACGAAAAGAAGGGAGAACTAAATACAGTCCAGATCAGCTGTGTGTTCTTGACAACGTGAAGATGAATTTGAGAAGATTTGTCGCTTATCAAGAAATTGTTGAGAAAAGACTGACTACTTGAACCATTGAAAGAGACCAGTCCTCACCCCAAAGTTTTCAACAGTGAAGAATACTAGAGGGTTTCCTTTCAGGGTGTTTTTTCTGAAAGTCATTTTTTTTTTTTAATGACTTGGTGTTCTGTGTATTAATTTGAAGTTGATAAAAACTCCAGGACATGTCAGAAACTCTTTTTTAAGCTCTGGGATCTGTGTGGCATTTCTAGTGCTCTCACGTTTCCGGCATGTTTTAATCACTGGAAACCCAAAGGTTGGAAACACAGTGAATCTCAGGTGCTTCTTCGTGAGCAGTGAAGACACTGCCAGACAATCATGTTCCCTTGAATTTTGGAGAAGAAAATCCAGAGCATAACTTGGATGCTTTTTTAAGCCAATATCATTTTATAATAACTAAATATTTAACTGAAATATGAAAACATGCTTTATAACTTTTTGGTATGAGATCTATCAATTATGCCTACCTTTCATGAAGAGGGGAATGAGTTGGATTCATATTCCACTATTTAGTAGACTATACTCCTCACTAATGAGGCCATCATCACCCTCTGTACAAAAGGATCTAATCCATTGATTTGTAACATCACTCCTTATTTAATTTGAAATGCAATCAAAATTGGGAGAATATGTTTTTTAATAAATAATTTTTAAATTGAAAGCTTTATGTCTTGCAAAGTCTTTTTTAAAATACCAGATAACCCTATTCCTGGGTGTCTGCTTGTTAATGGATCTTGCTTTGAATATATGTGTGCTATTAAAAACAGGATTTATAAAGGGAGATGGGATGAATTGGGAGATTAGGATTGACATATATCCACTATGAATAGTATGCATAAAGTAACTCATGAGCGCCTACTGCATGGCACAGGAAACTTTACTCGGTGCTCTGTGGTGACCTAAACAGGAAGGAAATCCCAGAAAAGGGACATATGTAAACATACAGTTGATTCACTTTGCTGCACAGCAGAAACTAACAGCAGTAAAGCAACTACTCCGGTAAAAATTAATTTTTAAAAAAGACATCTTAATTCCTCGAATCTCCAGCGTCGTTACCAGTGTCCTTGAAGCAGGTGGTGGGTGGATCAAAGGGAGGGAGTTTGCGCGCACGGCCCCTCTCCCAGGCCCATTGTTTGTCCACTTGCCTGACCAGAGGAGTTGGAGATTTGAAAATTTCCCTACCGTAGATCTCAGTTGATCTGTTAAAAGGCCCAATACCCAGCATAGGACTTTAGTTAACTAACATCCATCACCTCACATAGTTACATTTTTTTCACCTTGTGGTAAGACTCTTTAGGATCTGCTTTCTCAGCAGCTTTCAACTGTACAATACGATATTAACTGTAGTCAGTATGCTGTACATTACATACCCAATAATTTATAATTGACTACCTTCACCCATTTTGCTTGCCCTCCAGCTCCCAACCCCAGCCCCCTGCCTCAAGGCAACTAACAATCTATTCTCTCTTCTCTATGAGTTTGGTTGTTTGGTTGTTAGGTTCCATGTATGAGCGAGATCATACAGTATTTGTTTTTCTGTGATTTATTTCATTTAGCATAATATCCTCAAAGTATATCCTTGCTGTCACCAATGGCAGGATTTCTGTCTTTTTTATTGTTGAATAATATCCCATTGTGTATATACACTACATTTTCTTTACCCATACATCCACTGATGGACATTTAGTGTTTCCCTGTCTTGGCTACTATGAATAAGGCTGCAATAAACATTCAGTGCAGTTATCTTTTTCCTACAGTGATTTTGTTTCCTTCAGATGTATACCCAGAGTTGGAATTTCTGGATCATGTGATGGTCTTATTTTTAATTTTCTGAGGAACCTCCCTACTGTGTTCAATAGTACCTACACCAATTTACTTTCCCACCAATACTGCACAAAGATTCCCTTTTTTCCACATCTTCACCAACACTTACCTCTTATCTTTTTGAAAATCATTCTAGCAGGTGTAAGGCTCATTGTGGTTTTGAGAGACAAATTCTTTCAGGGAGAAAAGTTTCAGAGTTCTCCCTGCATCAAATATTTATAGCATATATTCATTTTCAGAGAGAATAAAATTTCCAATTTTGTCATCTTTCCCACACTTTCTAACCCATAAACATTATGTGAAATATCTAGCACAGGGCCTAGCTCACAGTAGGCTCTCGATAACTAAATTTGTCAAATAAATGTTAGTGATTTTCTGTCTTATTAAGCAAGCTTTTTGCAGCTGTTCAATGCAAAATCATTCTATGAAACAGTAGAATGTGAGTTATTACATTGGAAATGTGCCATCCCCCCAGTTTTTTAGGCTCTGAGGCATTAATAGTCTGCACTGCTATCATTTAATTTTGCTACTCTGAACAACAGGAAAGATAGGAAAAGATTAAATGTACAGCTGTTTATATACTAACTCAGTAAGCATATGAATATTATTCACAGCACAGCAAAATAGAAACTATACTTTTTTTCCCTGAAGGAAAAAATTTGCTTTAAAATACAGTTGTTTGCAAATTATCCAGAATAGTCCATTAAAAAGATACACTGTTTTTAATAGTTGCAGTATTCAAGCTTATGTGACAGCCTTTGTTCTAGAAGATACCTTTAAGTGTCCAGCCTGCCATGGCATGCTATCCAAGGAAATAAAAATCACTGCTTTAGTTGTCTTTTTCTGTAACATGGAAACTCATTTTAAGATAGAATTGATTTTGAAATATTAGTCATGTAATTGCATTTCTTTATCTGTAGTTTTATCTTTGGCCTTTATCTAGTCTGTCAAAAAAATACCTCTGAGTTATCAAGATTGAGAAAGTTTCTTTTCTCTTAAGCATTTCTGTTCAGCCAGTTCTGTTGTAGCCTTGCTCCCTGCCTTTTTGAAATTGCATGGACCAATACTTGATTGGACAGGCAGACCTCAGAAACATTGCAGATTTGGGTCTAGACAACCACATTAAAGCAAGCATCACAATAAAGTGAATCACGAATTTTTTATTTCCCAATGCTTATACTGTACTATGGTCTATTAAGTGTGCAATACCTTAATTTTCAAATACTTTATTGCTAATAAAAATGCTACCCATCATCTGAGCCTTCAGGGAGTTGTAATCTTTTTGCTGGGAGAGGTTCTTGCCTTGATGCTGATGTCTGCTGACCAATCAGAGTGGTGGTTGCTGAAGCTTTGAGGCGGTTGTGGCAATTTCTAAGTCACCAAGGAAACATCCATGGCCTCTTTCTTTCGCAAACAAGTTCTCTATAGCATGCAAAGGTGTTTGATAGCTTTTTAGCCACACAACTTCTTGCAAAATTGGAGTCAGTCCTCTCAAACCTTGTTCCTACTATGTCAACTAAGTTTTTGCTTATCAACGAGAAGAACTCCTCATCCATTAAAAGTTTTAAAATGAGATTGCAGCAATTCAGTCACATCTGCAGACTCCACTTCTGATTCTAGGTCTCTTGCTATTTCCACCACATCTGCAATAACTTCCTTCATTGAAATCCTGAACTTTTCAAAGTCATGCATTAGAGTTGGAGTCATCTTCTCCAAAACTCATGTTAATGTTGCTATTTTGACCTCTTCCCATGAACCGTGAGTGTTTTTAATGGTATCTAAAATGGTGAGTCCTTTCTACAAGGTTTTCAGTTTATTTTTCCCAGGTCCACCAGAGGAATTGCTATCTCTGGCAGCTATAGCCTTATGAAATCTATTTCTTATAATAAGACTTGAAAGTGAAAATTACTCTTTATCCATGGACTTCAGAGTGAAAGTTGCATTAGCAGGCATGAAAACAACATTAATTTCATTGTACATCTCCATCAGAGCTCTGAGTGACCAGGTGCATTGTCAATGAGCATTAATATTTTGAAAAATCTTTTCTGAGCAGTAGGTCTCAACAATGAGCTTAAAATATTCAGTAAACCATGTTTTAAACAGATGTGCTGTCCTCTAGACTTTATTGTTTCACTTACAGAGCACCAGTAGGATATATTCAGCAGAATTCTTAAGGGTACTAGGACTTTAGGAATGAAAAAGGAGTATTGGGTTCAACTTAAAAGTCACCAGCTGTATTAGCCCCTAACAAGAGAGTCAGCCAGTCCTTTGAAGCTTTGAAACCAGGAATTGACATAACCTCTTCAGCTATAAGTCCCAGATGGCATCTTCTCCCAGTATAAGGATGTTTCATCTCTAGGGGAAATCTGTTGTTTAGTGTCGCCACTTCCATGGACAGAGGAGCCTGGTGGGCTGTAGTCCATGGGGTCACAAGAGTTGGACATGACTGAGTGACTGACCACACACACACACCCCTCATTAACTCTGAGAGCTATATCTTCTGGATAAACTTGCTGCAACTTCTATAGCAGCACAGGCTGCTTCACCGTGCTCTTTTACGTTACGGAGAGGGTTTCTTTCCAGAAACCTCATGAGCCAACCTCTGCTACCTTCTAACTTCCTTCTGCCGTTTCTCACCTCTCTCAGGAGTCACAGAATTATAGAGTTAGGGCTTTGCTTTGGATTAGGTTTTGGTTTACAGGAATGTTGTGGGTGGTTTGAGCTTCTATCCAGATCACTGAAATTTTCTCCATTTCAACTATAAGGCTCTTTGACCTTACATTCATGTGTCCACTGAAGTAGCACTTTGAATTTCCTTCAAGCCCTTTTCCTTTGCGTTCACAACTTGGCTAACTGGTGCAAGAGCCTGAGTGTTTGGACACTGAGTTGGACTGAGTTGGACACGACTGAGGAACTGAACTGAACTGATCTTATCTAGATGTGGTTCGTGGTGCCCCAAATAATTACAATAGTAAAGATCGAAGATCATTGACCACAGATCACCATAAAAATATAACAATAGTGAAAATTTTGAAATATGGTGAGAATTACCAAAATGTGACACAGACACAGAGTGAGCAAATTTGTAAAAAAACAACAACAAAAAAGTGCTATTATCTGTGAAGCACCAGTTATGCCTAATTTAACTCATATATAGAACATGGGCCATGTTAGCACTCTCATCTCC